CCTGCATGTATATCTGTGTGAGGCTGTCACATCCCCCGGAACTAGAGTTAGAGGTGGCTGTGAGCTGCCATGAGGATGCGGGGGATTGAACACAGGATCTCTGGATGAGCAGCCAGTGTTCTTAACCATGGGCCATCTCTCCAGACCTATGAGCTTTCAGCTGGGCATCTGAAAAGAGTCCCCAGAAAGGCAGAACACCAGAAGGGGTGAGGCGGGCGAGGCCGTCAGTGTTTCCTGAGGTCACCTTCTTGAGTGGCTGTCCTCAGACTTGCATTCTACCTACCGAATGGACCAAAGCATCCAGGTGTATGTAGGTCCGAGACTGGCAGGGGTCAAGACAAGGGAAAGTGGCTTAGGGGGCAGACAGGGTCTGCTCAGTCCTCCCACCCCCTCTTTCCCAGGAGCTGAGTTCATTCCCACGGGAGGTGGGAGGTTCCGGAGCTGCATTGCACCCTGTCGTGTATCCCTGCACAGCTCTGCTGCTGCTCTGCCTTTTCTCCACCATTATCACCTACATCCTTAACCACAGGTGAGCCTGCTGCCGGGAGGAGGGAGTGGGTGGGGCGGGGCTCACACAGGCTGGCGGATGTTTCTTCTCCAGGCAGGAACCTGTGACCTGGCCAGGCTCCGGGGTTAAAGAACACATTTCTGGGGGGGGTGGGAGGTGGGGGTGGGGAGATTAAGGCCTTCTTTTCCATGGCCTGGAGCACATTTATACACCTGCACATAGATAATTTGTCCTTCTCTTTTTGGCTATCCTAGTGGTCTTGAGACCCTGTAGGGCAGTGGTTCTCAACCTTCCTAATGCTGTTACCTTCTAAAACAGTTCCTCACGCTGTGGTGACTCCTAACTATAAAATTATTTTATTGCTACTTCTTAACTGTAATTTTGCAACTGTATGAATTGTAAATATCTGATATGCAGGATATCTGATATGTGACCCGTGTGAAAGGGGTCGTTCAACCCCAAAGGGGTCTCTACCTATAGGTTGAGAACCCCTTCTGTAGGGGTTTGGACGGCTCATTAATAAAAGACTCTTTCCGGGGCAGCTCCATCCATGTGTCCCGGAAGGGTTGGCACATGCTGTTGAACCTGTGTTTCCACATGGCCATGACCTCTGCTGTCTTCGTGGGGGGCATCACTCTCACCAACTACCAAATGGTTTGCCAAGCGGTAAGAAGGGGGTGGGGACTCTAAAATGAGCGACTTCAGGGGAAAGGGGGGCCTAGCAAGGAAAATACGGTTTATGGAAATAGCCCTCAGTTCCTCTGTTCTCTGTACTAGCCTTGGAGGGTCTGGAAGGGGTGGGTGGCGTGTGGAGTGACAGGCATGGTCAGACTAGCTCCAAGATCACTGGAGATGGGGCTTCAAAGGGGAGAAAGGGGACCATAGCGGAGGAGAGGCCACATATCAGCCAGACTGCCCTGCCTGGGTCCCGAAGAATCCCTGGGGTGTGAGATCCCTGGCTGGAAGCAGAGAAGACACCAGCAAGGACCAGTATGATGAGTAGTTGGGTGGGATGCTGGAGGCATGGGAGTAGTGGGAACATACACGGCCATTGACTTCCAGGGTGCTGCCCAGTCAGCAGCTCAGGTCCCAAGCCTCAGTGCCTTGACCTTGTAGGTGGGCATCACTCTGCACTACTCTTCGCTGTCCACGCTGCTCTGGATGGGGGTAAAGGCTCGAGTCCTCCACAAGGAGCTCACTTGGAGGGCCCCCCCTCCAGAAGAAGGAGATGCAGCCCCGCCTGGTCCTCGCCCCATGCTCCGGTAAGTGCTTCCAGTTCTCAGCTATGGGAAGGGGCCTCAAGACCCAAGGCAGGCAAAGCTGGGGGTGGGGGTGGGGATGAGTAACAAGATCCCCAGGACAAGAGACGAGCTTCTTAGGCATGACAAGGATGGGAAAGGAGGTGACACCAAAGGGATTGGGTAGGGATCCTAAAAACCTTCCTGACATTCCTCACTCAGACTGCTTTGGGTTGGAGAGAACAATTTTGGTCCTTGTTCCCTAGAACAGTTCTTGGCCAAGTTCTGAAGAAGCTGCCCTTCCTTAGGAGGCCTTACATTCCAGCCTGACCCCGCTTCCCCCAAATCACACAGATTTTAAGGAGACAGAGAGAAAGACAGAGATGTCAGTTTGAGGGTTCCAAGCACCTGGTTCCCTTACCTCCAGTGCACGATCTCTCCCCCACCCCCAGGTTCTATTTGATTGCTGGCGGGATCCCCCTCATAATCTGCGGCATCACCGCTGCGGTCAACATCCACAACTACCGGGACCACAGTCCCTAGTGAGCACCACTCCCTCCTGCCTCATCACCACCGTCTGCCTGCCCCAACCTTCACACCAGCCCCATGCCTGCCGTTCCACCCAGCCAGAGAGCCCCTGCATGCTGACTAAGCCAGGGCCCGCCTCATCTCTCTACTTCCCACATCCTACCTCATCTACCACCCAGCCTGTGCCCCAGCTCCTGGGCTCTCCAAACTCTTCATCCACTACCTCTGTCTCCCCCTAGTTGCTGGCTGGTGTGGCGTCCAAGCCTTGGCGCTTTCTACATCCCGGTGGCGTTGATTCTGCCCATCACCTGGATCTACTTCTTGTGTGCGGGCCTGCACTTACGGGGTCATGTGGCCCAGAATCCAAAGCAGGGTAACAGTAGGCTGTCTCTGGAGCCAGGGGAAGACCTGAGGGGTTCCACCAGGCTCAGGAGCAGTGGCGTCCTCCTAAGTGACTCTGGTTCCCTTTTGGCTACGGTTGGCGCAGGGGTAGGAACACCTGCGCCCCCAGAGGATGGTGATGGCGTGTATTCTCCGGGAGTCCAGCTGGGGGCGCTGATGACCACACATTTCCTGTATCTGGCTATGTGGGCCTGTGGCGCTTTGGCGGTATCTCAGCGCTGGCTGCCCGGAGTGGTGTGTAGCTGCCTCTATGGTGTGGCAGCTTCAGCTCTGGGCCTCTTTGTCTTCACGCACCACTGTGCCCGCCGTAGGGATGTTCGGGCTTCCTGGCGGGCCTGCTGCGCTCCTGCTTCACCCTCGGCTTCCCACGCCCCACCCCGGGCCCTACCAACTGCTACGGAGGATGGATCCCCCGTGTTGGGGGAGGGACCGGCCTCCCTCAAGTCCTCCTCCCCAAGTGGCAGCAGTGGCCGCGCGCCGGCGCCCCTGTGCAAACTCACCAATCTGCAGGTGGCCCAGAGTCAGGTGTGCGAGGCCGGTGTGGCTGCCCGCGGGGATGGAGAGCCAGAGCCCACGGGCTCCCGTGGCAGCCTAGCTCCCCGGCACCATAACAACCTGCACCACGGGCGCCGAGTACACAAGAGTCGGGCTAAGGGTCACCGAGCTGGAGAGACTGGCGGCAAGAGCCGGCTTAAGGCGCTGCGCGCGTCCACAGGAGCTCCAGAGCTGCTGTCCAGTGAGAGCGGCAGCTTGCACAATAGCCCTTCCGACAGCTACCCCGGCAGCAGCCGCAATAGCCCCGGCGACGGCCTTCCACTCGAGGGCGAGCCCATGCTTACGCCGTCAGAGGGCTCCGACACCAGCGCAGCGCCGATCCCTGGGACGGGGAGACCCGGACAGCGCCGCTGCGCCAGCCGTGACAATCTCAAGGGCAGCGGCAGCGCACTGGATAGGGAGAGTAAGCGCCGCTCATACCCGCTCAACACTACCAGTCTTAACGGTGCCCCCAAGGGGGGCAAGTATGAGGATACCAGTGTGACCGGCGCAGAGGCCATAGCAGGAGGCTGCATGAAGACCGGCCTCTGGAAAAGCGAGACCACCGTCTAGGGCAGAGGCGGGCTAGATTTAGTGTGGGCCGGTCACACCGGCTTGTTACTCCTCGATCCTCCTGGGCGGTCCAAGCTGTCAACCTATGTGTAGGTTTGAGGTGGCCATGCTGATGGCTGCCCTTGGGCTCACCATCTTTTGTTATCCAGGCTGGGAAAGGGAGAAGGCAGATGCTTGCCACTTGTCTGCACTACCCCTCAGCAGTAGCGACAGACAATCCCAGACATCAGCTTAGACCAGTTTTGATGGTCAAGGTCTTGGTGTGCCCTCTCAGGTGGGGATAAAAGTTCCGTCCGTCTGTGAGGTGACCCATAAACAGAATGGCAAAGCTCAGCCCCGGTAGGCTCAGGAAACCTGGGAACTGCCTTTTCCTCACCAGCTTAAGGAGCCACCGCGTGACTGCCAAGATCCCAGGCCTCTTCCCCAGTTCTGGCTTGGGAAACCATCCTAGCAGGTGAGCCACGTCCCAGGCCAGGGCGAGTAACAGGTGCTGCCTTTTCAGATAAACTATGCAAGGGGGGAGGGGCGGAGTGTTGGTAACTCTAAGACCAGCTGAGTCCCGCAGGAGGTGGGCAGGTGGGAGAGGTGCACTAGGGAGCCGTGAGCCCTAGGGAGTGGTACACAATCCTTCCAGCAGAGTTCAGAACAAGACCTGAGAAAGCAATGCTATGCGCCTAGGGACTCAAGGAGAGGAGCTGAGGTTTGGATCTGAGCACAACCTGTCCGATGGTCTGGAGAGGGGCTCCCCTCAGCTGCTCAGTGACAATACCCACTGCCTGCCCTCAGCTGTCCAACTCCAAGGGACTGGGGAAAATGCCTCCATGAGGCTTTCTGTGGCAAAGCCATGGTAATCCAATTTCTAACTCCAGTTAGGAACCTGAAATGCCAAACCGTCTCACCGAAACCCCACCAGGCTCTGAGGGAGCACCTAGGTGCAGGTTGCTCGAGGCTGTGCTTTCACTACTTGCTAAAACCTCCAGCCACCATCTTCCCCAACCTAAAATGCCTTTTACTACAGAACCACGTGGAAGTAGAGGAATTCTTGGGCCTTGGGAAGCAGGAGGGAACCCGGGTCTGGTAGGTGAGAGAACACAGTGGGGGAGAATCCATGCTCCTTGAGATGGGCCCCATTATTTATGCTTGCTGCACAGACAACATTAGAGAAGCTTTGTATTACTCTCCCACGTATGCTGGCTGCTGTTTACATACCCTGCCAACGCCTTAGCACTGGAGAGCTTTTTGCAATATGCCGGGAAAAGGGGAGGGAGGGAACCAAGTGCCAAAGAAAACATGTTTTAAAAGCTCTGGTTTTATACAATAGAATGTTTTCTAGCAAATGCCTCTTTGTTTTAATATATTAAAATCTTGCAAAGCCCTCTGAGCGACAGCCGTAGTCCACCTATGGTCCTTTTGTTAATGAGGTAGAGGAGGCAGGTGGGAGCCCAAGACCACTAGAGCCCAGAGCAAACATGGGCCAGGAATCGCTGCTCCTGCTCATGTAATGGTCGATGCCACCTCTTTCACAACAGCAATGTGCTGACTTCACACCACGGCAGGAGAGAGCCGGGCAGATCTTCAGCAGTCTTAGGAGTCCAACTCAGACTGTGGACAGCCAAGGTACTCCCCTGCACCAAGGGACAGGATTTTCCCACCCACAGACATCCCATGCACCTCCCAGTATTGCTAGGGTACTTGGTCCAATTAACTGCTATTCTTGGTTTCCTAAATAAAAAAGGAATACCCGAGGGTCATATACTTTACTTCTTGCAACATGGCAGGCCTATCAGCAAATCGCAGTCAGAATTACTGACTACACCTGGAAGAACCTGCATCATGGAGGGTTAGGGGCACTCATGGCTGCCTGGCCAGCAGCCTGGGCTCTCTGAAAGTCTCTAACTTCCTGAGGGGTGCGCAAATACTGCTCGATTTCACTATCAGAAATGTTCTCATCTCCAGTCACTACGGAAACAACGGGGGTGGGATGGGTCCGTTTGGGAGGCTTTAACATACAGGGTGGGAGCAGAGGTGCAGGACTGGCTGGGCGTTTCCTCTTGGGCAAATCAAAGGTACTATCTTCTGCTTCCTGCTGTCCTTGTCCCCCCGGATGCTGCTCCTGGGTCTCCGCTTCTGCTGTTCCATCTCGGAAAGCCATGCGTATCAGCATGTGGCGGTGCTGGAGGAGGTCACCAATGTGCTTCACCACAGTCCGCTTGTCAAGCTTTAGGACCTGCAGCCAAGCCAGCTGGCCGGCCAACTGCAGCAGCACAGCCAGCAACTCCTGCAGACGGGAGGCGGCCGGGTAGGGCAGGTCCACATTTGCCAGTTTACAGAACTGGGCAAGAGAACATGTCAGTCGGTCTGAGGGCCGCAGAGACTGCCACGCCAGGAAGGTGGCTGCAGTGATGACAGGCACGGGATGGCGCCCAGTCACGAGCCATGTCTCATTTGCCAGCTCCACCAGCAGCAAGGTTCGAGACAGCATCTTGTCTTTGTCCTCCACATATTTGGCTGGCAGGGATGAGGAAGCCTGGAACAGTTTGAAGCTGAAACAACCAAAATGAAGGTCAAGTGACTGATAGGGTGTTCTTCCGGGGTGAGCAGGGTCGTCTACCCAAGATGGATGGGGAAGCTAGTCTGTCCTAGAGACACTCGAGGTCACGGGAGCAAGGTACTGAGCAATGGGGCAGGGACGTGCCAGGTGAATGGTATATCAGCTGAGCACCTTCCTACTGGCACAATTCCTCCAGTGTCCCTATTCGCTCTACAGGAAGGGCACCATTATATGTGTCTACTTAGGATATGACCATGTTTCAACCACTTGGTAACATCCCTTCCTGGCTGTCCCGGAACTCGCTTTGTGGACCAGGCGGCCTCAAACTCACAGAGATCCGCCTGCCTCGGCCTCCTGAACGCTGGGAGTGAAGGTGTGCACCACCACTGCCTAGCCTCGTCTGCTTCTTTTAACATACGGTTTCACACCAAGTCCAGGCCGGTCTAGAACGTGATACTCTTGCTCCAGTCTCCCAAGTGCTGGGGTCAAGAGTGTGTGCTACCAAGCTTCAACAGCCATTTTCGTGGTTTGGTTTTGTTTTAAAGTATACTTGTCAAAAAAAAAAAAGGGGGGGCAAACCAAGGCTAGTGGTGCACACCTGTAATCTCAGCAGTAGGAAGATGGAGGTAAGGTGATCAGAAGTACAAACCCAGCCTAAGCTGTATGAGACTGTCTAAAACAACTAAAAATCTCACTAAAACCTTAGCTTCAAACCTTGTTCAACCACTAACTAATATCTCTGGACTCCATATAGAGGCGATCCTGCTGGAGCAGGGCCCCTGCCATGTAATTCCAGTGACTGCCATTCATAAAGCAGGAGGGGGGCAACTCAGCAGCCCTATGCCAAGGCTGGCTGAGGATTTTTTTTTTTTTAAACACTATCACAGTCCTGTGATGGAAAGGGGATGGGAAGATTACAGCGTCCTGGAAATGTGCAAACGGTATTGACCTCAGTGGTGAGCATGGGTTGGGAAGGAAAGACAGGCAGACTCTGGCAAAAGCATGTATCTGCCAGGACAGCTGCCTACCCCTGCTGCCTCCTGGACAAGTACCTGCCGCAGTAAGACTTCACCAGGTCTTCCAGGCACAGAGCCGGCACGTCCAGCCCCAGAAGCTTCACCAGCTGCATGTAGGTGCCGGAAAACATATCCAGATCTGCATACAGCAGGGTGCAGATGGTGCCCATGGTCAGGGGCCAGTTATGTTGCCGGCAGGTGATGAGAACACAGCATCCAACTAACACTTCCTTCTTCTGGAGCCTCGCAGCACGGATGCCAGACAGCTGATAGGCCTTTTGGTAGTAGGAGATGGCAGTCTCCTCGAACGTAGGGGGCAACTTCAAGATCCGACACAGGTCTCTCACTCGATGGAGATCTAGGAAAACACATAGTAAGCAGAGAGGTCAAAGGAAGTTTAGCTAGGACTTAATTTAGTTCCATTAAACTTGCCATATATAGCAGATGCACAAATAATACACCCTTCTAGCCAGGCGGTGGTGGTGGTGCACGCCTTTAATCCCAGTACTCGGGAGGCAGAGATAGGAGAATCTCTGTGAGTTCGAGACCAGCCTGGTCTACAGAGTGAGTTCTAGGACAGACCCCAAAGCTACAGAGAAACACTGTCTCAAAAAATCAAAATGCCCTTCTGTACTAACAGGACACTTGATGTGGCCGTGTGCACTGGAGCCAGACTGATCCTCGAGCATGCTGGGCAAGCTCCTTATCACTGAGTTGTAGTCTTAACCTTTAGAACTGTGCTCCTTCCAAAGGTACAGAACACTTGTGGGAAGGTCACACTCAATCCACCACCCTTTTATGAGCTATTCTGACTTATAGACAGGGCAAAGTTCCTTATTTTTTTGGTTCTGGGGATTGAACCGCAAGCCTTACACATGATAGGTGCATATTCTATCACCAACTTACTCCGCACCCCCAGCTCCAAAGCCAAGCTTTTATCAAGGGCTTCTTGAGGCTACTTTAAGGCTAGTGCAGACCCAAACCTTCATCTACCTCTATTCCTTCTGGTTTTTAAGACGCACTCACTATGTTAGCTGGGCTGACCTCAAAGTCTATCCTCCTGCCTCTCCTCCTGAGTGCTGGGACTGTAGGCATACAGCCCATCAATAACGGTTCTCTTCTAGCCTATCAACAACAAGAACACACGTGGATGGACTAGGACGTCAAGACAATTTTCTTTCAAGCCACTGAATAATAAAAAGTTGGTTCTCTGGGCTGGAGAGATGGCTCAGCAGTTGAGAGCACTTGCTGCTCTAGCAGAAAACCTGGCGTTCAGTTCCCAGCACCCTCATGGCAACTCACAACCACCTATAACTCCAGGTCCATGTGATCCAACACCCTCTTCTGACTCCATGGGCACCAGGCATGCGCACGGTATACATACATACATGCAATTAGAACACCCATACAAACATTCAAACATTGAAGAGTCACGTAAATAAAAGCAAAGCTGAAATTTAAGGAGGAAAAGGGTGATTCTTACCTCGCTGCTGGCTGCGGCTAACTTGCTCGTTTTCCCCGGTGCTTCGGGAATATGTCACTTCTGTAAATAATATACAAATTAATAATAATAAACAAATAGCACAGGTGGCCTCTATCCACTCATCATCTCCTTGTCCTCTGACCACGTAAAACCAGGGAGATTTCAAGCTATCGCGTACCTACTTCCCATCTCAGAGAAAATACCCCATCCATGTAACAGTAAAGGCTCACCTGGCTTTTTATGTCTTCCAGTAGCACCAAAGACAGCCAGTATAGAACTATATAAAGCAATGCTGGTGATCCCAATTTCCCAGCCTTTTCTCTGGTGCATTCAATTTTGACATAGCACAGCGGTTCTCAACCTTCTAATGCTGTGACCCTTTAATACAGTTCCTCATGTTGTGGTGACCTCAGCCATGAACTTCGTTGCTACTTCATGGCTGTAGTTTTGTTAGAATTACGATTTATAATGTAAATAGCTGATATGCACGACGGTCTTGGGCTACACCTGGGAAAAGGTCGCTCAATCTCCCAAAGTGGTCGAGACTCAACGGTCTCGTTGAACTAAACAATGGCGTGGAAGGATAGGAGGAACATTTTGCCAGTTAGTGCTAAAAATTACTGTGGGGTAATGGTTTGCATTCTATTCCCATATGGTTCGTGTTGTATTCCCGAATAATTTGTCAACAAGCCTCCAACACTGACCAGGTCCGAAAAAAGGAGTGAAACCTTATCCGTTTCATTCATTCACCATCGGTATACCCACTGGCAACATTAGAGCACCCGCCTCCAGCTACTTTTTTTTTTTAAGCGAGCTTTTCCCACATTTGTGTGAGCACGATCGGGGGGTGGGGCGCTAGGAGTCTGGGATTAAGCATTCCAGCACACCAAGCTACCCCCAGGGTACCTCTGAGGTTGCCCTCGTCGTTGAAGGTGGTAGTAAGGACCCCTTCGGTGACCACACAGCCGCAGTCGGAGCACACCAGCTGGCTCTGAGAATAATGCGAGTCTTCCACGAGCTCAGAGGACCCGCAATCCGGGCAGCGGCTTCCGCTCGGCATCTCAGCATTTGTCCAGCGACGCGATAGCTCCGGGACACCCGCTCCTAAGAACTCCCGGCTACAGGAAAGTGGGAGGGGACCTTATTCCGGCTGCACCTTCCTCTTCCGGTCAGCTGGATAACCGGCTGGAGGTTTGCTCCGCCCGGTGGCTGCACGCCACTTCCGATCTCGTCTGTGGACTCGTGTAGAAACACGAGTTCGAAAGGAAGGTTCCCGGTTTAGCTGTGTCTCAGGGTCTCTGGTGTCTTGAGATTGGGCCACGTTAGGAGTTGACAGTTGCCAGAGATAAGGAATTGCTCTCTGCGAAACACTGTTGTTTTTTTTTTTTTTAAATCATTTATTATTTAAGATTATCTTGCTTATGGAGCCCAGGCTGACCTAGAATACTGCTATTTCTGCCTCCCACCTATCGCTTGCTGGGATTACAGGCTTGCGCCACCAGGCGTGATCCCTTTTTGGATGTAATCACCTGTAATCCTAGTGTTTGGGAGATGGAGGCCAGAGGATCAGGAGTTCAAGGTCATCCTCCTCTATATAACAAGTTGGAGGCCAGTCTGGACTACAGGAGACCTTATCACAAATAAATCAAAATAGCTGGGTATGTTGGCATACTCCCTTATTCCTAGTTTTGGGGAGACAAAGAGTTTGAGGCCAGCCTGGCCTACATCTCAGTTCAGTCCAGCCAAAACAATATAAAGAGAACCTGTCTCTAAATAAATAAATAACTAAAACAAGACTGTTGTGTAGCGCACCGTGCCTGTCTGTGCTCTATGCGCTACCATACAGTTCGTGAACCGGGCAAGGGACTGGAGATTGAAACACACAAAGACACACAGACAGAGACACAGGTCATCCTTGATGCCCAGATGCCCCCCCTTATTGTGTTCAGGGGCAGCTTATATAGGGGTTTTTACCTGATAGCCATCACCAGAAACCACTTCCCTGCCATCAGGGTCTTGTGCTCAGAGCAGCTGCAAACATTACAAGTTGTTTACAAGAAATTCAGGATCTGGGGGGTTCACAGCTCCCGACACTGTTGACTTAAAAATTTGAGGGATAGACTTAGATGTCTTCAGAGAGTAACATGCAAAGAAACATAGTTCTCACCTCAAAGAGGAAAAGGAGAAGTTTATACTAGAGCCAAAAAGGACGAGTAGCGCCCTGGAACAGATGTAATTTTCTCCAATAACAGTGCACCGTATGAAAGCGTATTAGTTCTAGAACAAAGAAAGCCAAGTATTCACCAAATACAGTGGTGGGGCCACAGGTAGGCATGCTAGACAGTAGTGGGTAAACCTTTTCTAAGGGTTTCAGACACTGTCTGATGACATTCTAGCCCCTGGATTGGTAGACTCTGGCAGCTGGCTAAGAATACATTTTAATTTGTTGGGTTGTTTGTTTGTTTTTAAGGCAGGATTCAGGGTTCACTACTTAGCTGGCTGTTCTGGAACTTACTATATAGGCTAGGCTGGCCTCAAACTCACAGTAATCTGCTTGCTTCTCTCTTCTTCCTGAGTACTGGGATTAAAGGCAGGGGCTACATTTGGCCTACAATATATATATGGCCAGGTGTTCATAACTAAGCCTCCATGTGTGATTTATTTGGGAGCTGGGTGGTGGGCCCCCCCTAAAAAAGCCAAAAGAGAAAAAGATCAAACAACAAATGAGACAACAAAAAGTGTGTTTTGTTTCTTCTTAAGGATTTATTTTTAATTATACCGAATGTGTCTGTGTGTAGGTATTTGCAGACCTATGTGGGTATCCTGGAGGCCAGAAGAGGGTTTCAGATCCCCTGGAGCTGGAGTTATGGGCAGCTATGAGCTGCTTGACAGGGGTTCTGGGAATTAAAATCCAGGTCCTTGGTAAAAGCAGCAAGCATTCTTTATCACTGAGACATCTCTCCAAACTGTTTAAAGTGGGATCCCATAGGCCTGGGGAGATGGCTCAGTGGTTAGGAGTAATTGACACTATTCCAGAGGACCTGAGTTGGGTTCCTAGCACCCACACTGGTCAGCTCACAACTGTAACTCCAGCTGGCCTCCAAGGGCACCCATAGTCTAGCTGTTCCTCCTCCCCCCCACACACACACACAGAGACTATACTTACACAGACATATACATGAAAATAGAAAACACTTGAAAAATACAGGATCCTATGTATTCAGGCAGCTAAGGTTTTCATGTCTAAGTTTCTCGTTTGTCTAATAGAGTCAGTATCTCAGCGCTTCCTTCTGCAGTGAAGGTGCAGCCTGAATCGAGCACTTGGCCACAAGCAAGGACAGACACAGCTTTCTTCCCTCAACCCTGTCTCCAACACGACCCTTTCCAGGGCTCAGGCAGGATACAGGTTTCTGTGTGGAAAGAAAAAGAGAATTAAAATGCTGACAACATTTGCTCTTGAGTTTTGGGTTGTGTGGGAGATGCTGGGCCAACTAAGCCAGTTTTAGGTCAGAATTGATTGATGGTTAGCATGCCCCAAGAGGCAAAGCACAAAGATCCTGAAGATGGTGCCAAAAAAGAAGCCCCAAACGCCAGATCCATCTGTCTGGTTATTAAGCTAAGGACAGCTGTGTGCTGACACTTTGGATTTGAAGGATGGACAACACCTGTCTAGCATTGTTTTCCACAGGTGGGCTGAGGCCAGGGGGCCCTCATCCAGCAAGTCCTCCTTTTGGCCCATAGGGGGCAGTCATAAACTGTCAAAAAGGTCCTGGCTCTTCTTGGGTGGTGGTTAGCTGGGGTGGGGGTGGGGTGTGTGTCTCCCTCTGAACCCTTATCAGTTCATGTTGCAAAGTATAGACTGTTGCAGATTGCGGCCATGTCATGAGGTACGCTCAAAACAGGTACTGTGGCTGTGTTATTCCCACCAGAGGAGCAAATGACCCGAGGGATCTGCTGGAAGGGCAGGTTTGCTTTGGTTTCCCATTTCAGGTTTTCATGCCAGGCTGCCTGCTGTTATGCTGTTTGCGTCACAGCACCAGATCATGGCTGGGACACATGGTGGAGCTTTGCTGACCCTTCATGGTGGCCGGGAAAGAGACCCAAGAAAGGGTAGCGTTACCAGTATCATCAACGAATGACCTAAATTATTTTTATATCTCCCTCCTAGCACGTCGATTACCTCCCAAGAGTGCCACAGGCTGACAAATCAAGCATTTGTTCAAAAATTATTTATCAGTGTCTGTACATACAGGCACGCATGCACCACTGTTGGGACCATTTGGAGTCCTGGCCTCCAGCTGCTCTTCCCTGCTAGAGATCTTTACTTTCCTTCTGATTTGAGTTACTGAAAGCTGTGTCAAAGTTGTTTACCAGCTCTGCTTCACGAGCACGTGTTGCCTTGGCCTTGAGGATCAGAGGGTAAGGTTTTCACCTGTTGGCCCACCAGACTGTTAGGTATATAAGCCTCCAAGGGGCTACTGAATAAGGGGCTTCTTACCAGTGTCTAGAGGTCCGTCTGTTTGTCTCTGTGTGTCTTCGTATGTTTCAACCTCTAGCCCCTTGCCCGAAGCTCATGAACTGTATGGGAGTGCATAGAGCGCAGACAGGCATTGTGCGCTGCACACCACAGTACATATGTGGAGACAGAGAACACCTTACAGGGACTAGTTGACTAGTTCTCTTCTTCCACAGTGGGCTTTTAGAACAACTCAGGTCCCAGGTTTGTGTGGCAAGCACCTCTACTGTAAAGCCGTCTTGCTGGTCGCCCAGCATTTCACATGAGGCTTTGGAAAAGAGATGAGATTGAAAACGAAACAGTGGTCTTTCTGTTAAAGAGCATCTGCTTGTACAGGACAAGAATGTCCTGGCGTAGGTGAGAGTCACAGCACTGGGGACTACTCGAGACAACCTGGCTGTCATGGAGGGTGCTTGCTGATCCCTGCGGCCTCAGCTTCTGCTCCCAAGTCCAGATTGGGAGTTTCCCTTTTATTCTGTTCATATTGCTATTTCCCGTTTTATGTTCGTTCCATCCATCCATCCACCCATCCACCCACACACACACCAGCACAAAAGCCTTCTGCTAATAATAACCAAGTTAAGCCAAGACAATTGTCCTTCCTTGAGCTGGAATTTGAAAACACTAGGCTGACTATGCACTGAGCTTGGTAGCAGTAGCAGGAACCAACCAAACTGAAAGAATTGCAAACGAGGGATCAAAAGAACCAAATCTCACAGTGCTAGTCATTTATGAAAACTTTGGAAAAATAAAAATTCCTAGTACCATAAAAAAAGCCAAAATGAGAGAATACAAATAAATATAAATCTGTTTGTAAATTCCTTAATGCAGACACTCCATTAATGCCCCATGGAAGCCCCGGGCCCCAGCCTAGAGCATCACGGGTTCTGTGATGTGATCTCACCTCGAGGGAAACAGTATCTGCTCCTCTCCAGAGTCTCTCTGGAGCAAGGCCTATGAGCCATGGTGCACACCCGAGGCCAGCAGATGCTCTTCCTTCTGAGACAGACTTAGTCTCGAAGGAAATGTGAGCGGAGTGAGATAAACCTGGGAGGAGACGCCTTCATCTGCCATAACGGCTTCTATCGGATCAGCAGAGCTGACTGACCAGGGATCTGCTTCTCAGGTCGGGGTACTTCTGAACCCCAGGCCAAGACTTCCCTTTGTAATGTTTGGGCAGATAGTCACATGGTGTCGAAGCCATGATCCCTTGGGATAAGATGAGACTAGGAAAAGCAGGACAGAGATGTTTGTCCTCTCCAGGGGGGGCTCAGGCACCCTTTGGCACAATTGTGGTCGCTGCAGGGCTTCACATGAGAGACCAACATGGGATATTATCACCCCAGGAAGTTTTCCAACAAGACAGAAGGAACTTTCATCACACCCAAAGTAAAGTACAGATGCAAATCTTTGAAAGAAGTATCTTTTTATTTAGTGTTAGAAAACTTTAAGGTTTTTTTATTTTTTTTTTTATTTTAAGACAAGGTCTCATATCCCCACCTGATTTAAAACGCCCTGTGCTGCTGAGGATGAAGTGGAACCTCTGGTCACATTGTTTCCACCTCCCAAGTGTTGGCTGGGATTACAGGTGGGCATCATGATGCTCAGTTTATGTAGTACAGGGGTGGGAGGGGGGAGGGGAGGGGAAGGGGAAGGGAGGGTGGGATCAAACCTAGAGCTTTGTGCATGTAAAGCAGGCACCGCACTAACTGAGCTACACGCCTAATCCCTTAGGTATTTCTTTCTGTTTCGTGTTTTGAAACAGGGTTTCCTCTGTGTAACAGTACTGGCCATCCTGGAACTCTGTACACCAGGCTGGCCTCGAACTCACAGAGATCCGCCTGCCTCTGCCTCCCGAGTGCTGGGATTAAAGGCATGCGCCACCACTGCCCATTTTAGGTATTTCTTAAAAGCAATACCAGTCAACTTCAAAATCCCCAAAGCAACACCCAGGGAACAGGAATCCTGTAATTTAAAACACCACTGAGCCTGCAGTTGAAGGGGAAAGTCAACTCAGTAGCTCACAAAGGAGGTAGGAGAAGCCAGAGTTGGGGTTGGCGTGGGTTCACGTTTGCCATCTAAGGCAACTGACTTCTTTTCGGCCTTGAAGGATCCTTAATCAGTACCCTACTCCATATCCAAAAGAATAAAGAAAAAGCTGGGAGTGGTGGCATCCTGATATTCCCAGCACGTGAAGGGGAGGCAGAGGCTAACCTGGGCTACGTGAGAACCTGCCTAAAGCATCACAAAGCAGGGTGGAGGACTGGCTGCGGGTGTGACTCAGTGGGAGAGCACAGGATTGATATGCACAAGACACTGGGTTTAATCCAACACCAAGAAAGTAAAGGGAAAGAAGAAAGGTTGACTGGGCAAAAAAAAAAAAAAAAAAAACAAAAAAAAAAAACACAGGGATGAAGAACTCTGGCCTCAAAAGAGCAGCTGGGAAAGCATCATGGACCAGCCTCTCTTGGTGCCCTGAGAACTTAGAATCTGGAAGCACACAGCTCATCTATCACACATGTGCACAGCTGTGGAGCATGGCACAAGGCAGGGTTGCTCGTTCCTTCCTAGAATAAAACAGGGAGGCCAGGACATGTGCCAAGGTTAAGAATAAGATGATATGAAACACTTGGGCCACTGTTTTTCAGAAAACTGACCTCCAACTGGAGTCTGCTGGTATTTAATCCAGTGCTCCCTCACGCCCTGGCTGGGCTTTCTGGAGGGCTTTCTGGAGGCAGCCAGGCAAGGGCAAGGAAAAAGCCCCTCTTTTTTCCAGAGCGCAGGCCCTTCCAGGGCTCCTCATGTTGGCTTCAGGAGTAGCTACAGGCACAAGCCAGCGGCCAGGTTCAGTAGCTCCAGGGCTCCACATCACCAACCTCTGCCCCCGCCAGTGGCTCAACACAGACTCGGCTTCCCAGAGGCTTCCCTCAGCCCCCAGATGCACATTCAAGAACAGTCATTGAGTAGTTGTGGCCTCTATGTACTCTGAGGGAAACCACTCTTCGTTCTCCAGAGTTCCCAAGTGGCATTTCAGAGCCCAGGAATTCACCCCACCTAGACGGTCCTCTAGAGTGCTGACCCAGGAACATACCAAAGGTCCCAGGAGCAGCAGAGCCCTCCAGACTTGTTGTTAACAGAACCAGTGCCCTCCCCTCCCCCATGCACTTAGGTTATCACAGTAAAAATGCATTTTTATCAAGTAAAAAAAAAAACATGCAGAGCAGACATATACATGTACATTTTCAGAGTTCAAGTGAATATAGTTTCCTTTATAGGCATATTAATGAATTTTGCAACGCTAAAAAAAAAAAAACCACCTCAGAAATCTGCAGTGGTCCCTAGTATTGTAGGAGAGATTAAATAACAATAGGTGTGGATCATTAACAGGTAATTAGATAAATCAAGTGACAGGCTTGCCCTTCAGATTAAAGTGCTCCAGTGTAGCCAATGCCCCTCATCTTCCGGATGACAAGGACAGACAGACAGAGATTCTTCATGAATAACCACTACCTCCACCCTGTCCATTCCACTGGCCTGGGATTGCCCCTAGCAGAGACGTCAAGATTTCATGAGATTTTATTACAATCAGGAAGTAAAAAAAAAAGAACAACATGAAACACTTTAATTCCAGGATGAGGTGAGCAGCAGTGAAATTCCCTCTATTGGTGAAAATGGGGCTGATTTTAAAAATTATATATATATATATATATGTATATATACACACACATGTGTATATATATAACTATATTATAAACTAGATTTATATATAAATCATATATATATATATATATATATACTAGTTATATATATAAAAATCTATTTAAAAAAAACAGCAATCTACCAGGCATGGTGACACATACCAGTGATCCCAGTATTTGTAAAGCTAGGGCAGGAGGGATGAAAGTCTGAAGCCAGTGAGACTCTGCCTCAAAATAGCAACAAAAACACTCCCCCAAATTAGGAAGTAGCAATCAAAAAGCAAGTCTGGAAAGGGGGTGGTTAAGTCTGGGGTGAGGGTGGCAAGGGTGAGGGTGGTAGGTCTGGGGGTGGGGTAGCAAGTGTGGGGGCAAGGGTGGAAGTGCTTTGCCACTGTGTACTAACCGTGCCCTAGCCCAGGGCTCCTTCATCTTGAGGAACTAGTGGACTCTGGCTACTCCCTTCCAGAAGGCTGCCAGGAAAGCCAGCAAGATAAGTAAATGGGAGAAAGGACGTGGGATGGAAGGACGTGGCCAAAGGACCCTTCCTAGTCATTCTCTAGGTCACAACTGTTGGAGCAAGCATCTGGATCGCTTAGTCCTCTCTCCAGACACTGGAGAGGCCAATCCAGCAACAGGAGCCCTGTCAGCATGAGAGGAGGGACTCTGACTATTTTTTCCTACTTAGATGGAAAGTGACTTTTTTTTTAAAAATGTGTATTGGTGTTTCGCCTGTGTGTATGTCTGTGTGAGGGTGTCGGATCCCCTTGAACTGGAGTTACAGACAGTTGTGAGCTACCGTGTGGGTGCTGGGAATTGAACCTAGGTCCCTCTAGAAGAGCAGTCAGTGCTCTTAACGGCTGAGCCCCTTAATTCTTTCATATCTCCGGGAGACGGCCCTATGGATCTAAAGAGCACACTGTGTGTATGTGTCTGTGTGTGTGTGAGTGCTCACCTATGTGGGAGAATATGAAGGGCAGAGGTGTAAGGTAGCTTTTCACGTTATTAAGACAGGGTCCCTCACTGAATCCAGAGTTCCCTGTTTCAGCTAGAATGGCTGGCCAGTGAGGCCCTGGGATCTGCCCGTCCCCGCCCCCCCCCCACCCCTCCAGCATCTGCAGCTACTGCAGGCCCTTTACCCACTGGGCTGTATCTCCCCATCCACAAGAGCGTACTTTTAAGGCTAGAAGGTAGAAGGAAATGGAAGAGGCAGCTTGTTCAAAGTCTCAGAAGGCTAGTCTCAGCTATACAATGAGTTCAAGAGCAGCCCGGACTAGACAAGAGCCTATCTTAAAAACAGAACAATGCCCCTCCCCCAACAAAAACCCTACCCAAACAACCCTTGACTCTTCGGACGTTCACAAGACATAAAAATTTAGCATATGCCATACCTGAGCTGCTCCAACACCAAGAAAGGAGGTAAAACGGTCCCACAGTAGAGTCCCTTTCTGATCTCAGCCAAAGCCTGGCTTCACGGAGGATACACACTGGAAAAATCTCGGTATCAGAGGGCAACAACCCCAGTGTTAAAATACATTAGTTCCGATGGCGCCCCCTGAATCGATGGCTCAGGATCAAATCGTGCATTCACAACTTAGTTAAAGGCACCGTGGCATTTAAACACACACTCTGGGAATGTATAGACAAGATTCATTGTAATAATTAACTTGGTTTCAACTAGGAGAATTGACTCTTGACAGACAAGGCACACACCCGGTGATGGGAGCCTGTGTGCTGGTTACTAAGCAGACCACACACCCTAGACCTCAAGAGGTGCCGGACACAAGATCACAAAACATCTCCACTTCCCTCCCGCAGGTCACATCTTTCCGGCCTTCTTGCCAAGCTGAGATGGCACTCGGAGGATGTTGGGCGTCTCCTCCATGACCCTGACCAGCAGGTTGTCGATGTAGTCTTCCAGCTCTCGCACCTGGAACTCCTTCTTGCTGATGGTTTCCTTCTGTTTGAGGACCAACTGGATCAGCTCGTCGTGGGTCAGTTGTGCGTAGGCGAAGGCAGGATCCGACGGCTGGTATTTCTTTGGGGAGGGAAAGAAGAGGGAAACGGTTACAAGCCACAGAGAAATCAGACATCTGAAAGGAATGCGAAGACAATGTCAGCGGCTGTCGGAGTCTCTCAGAAACCCATTTTGTTGTTATTCTTCAGCGCCTCGCTCTGTAGACCAGGCTGGCCACGAACTTGGAGACTGGTCTGGCTCTGCCCTCCCAGGTGTTGAGATTAAAGGCATGGAAGTGCACTTCAACACAGGTTGGAACCAGGCAGATGACTGAGAAAAGTACCATGGCACCACAGACAACACTTAAAAAAAGCAGAAACCTTCCTTGGCTCATAGCCGTCAGAGCCCTCGTCTTGACTCTAGGTACATGTTGCCAGGAAATGTAGTGAGGGGGCTGGAGCCATGGCTCAGTAGTTGAGAGCACTGGCTGCTCTTTCAGAGGATCTGGCTCAATTCCTGGCACCCACACGGTGGCTCACAACCATCTATAACTCCAGTCCCAGGACCCTGCACTCTCTTCTCAGCCTCCTCCAGCACCCCCCCGCCCCGCCCACACGGACACCCACGCATGCTCACAGGCAAAACAACCATCTACACTAAAAGGGACGGTGGGAAGGAACACAATGAGGCCTTGGTGGGAGATGGAGAAAGCAGCGTCAGGTAATCCTAGTGTACACACCTGAGCCCAGCCACTCTGGAGGCTGAGGTGGATGAACCACTTGATCTCCTTTAAAACTCCTGGAGTCATACAACCAGCTATCGGTACAGAGCTAGGACAAGCAAACCCCAAGGTAGAGCAGAAAGAAGATGTGGGGGTGCATCCTCCTGCCAACGCTGTTGGGTATTAGCCAGTGACATCAGTCTGCTACCCCTAGGCGCCCTCTGAGACCCTACCAAAACTCACTCCACACTCTCAAAACATGTATAGCTAAAGCCACGTGCCACCGGGCCATGGACCTCACAGGCCACCTGAGTACACACTCTCTGGGTACGTGGTAGCCTCTCCCAAAGTCTGACTGTTCCTATTTCTGAGGGGAGCGTGTGTCCGGAACAGTCGCTTTTAATGAACATTTATCATCTGGGACAAGGAGACTCTAACTGCAAACCAAAGACTTCTGAGGCAAAGGGAAATCAGAGATAAGGGACTCACTAAGAAGTAACCAGTCACGTCAAGGTCTTCAGAGGGAGTAAGAGGGCGGGCGGGCCTGGCAAACTGCAGCTTAGCAGATTTATAAATCAGGAAAGCAGGACTCCTGAGCAACTCAAGGTGACTTCTGCCCAGAGAATTCCAGGGCAGTAACCGGTTTTTCCCTGAGAGCCTGACACTTTCATCTTCTACCAGGAAGACCAATAAGTCAAGTCAAGAGCCTACCACCTCCAAGCAGAGCCGGGGCAGAGTAATAGTAACAGTAATAGCAACAACAGCACAGAAGCCTCCTCCCGCATCCAGGGAGCAAACTGCCCAAGGAGACCGAATTCAGAGGAATCCTGCTCTCCCTGGTGGCTGTTTTCATAGATACAGCAAGCTTGAGTCCAAGTCAGATGGTGCATGAATAATCGAGATGCTGGGCTATTTCTCCCACATTTGCCTCTCCATCCCCCAACCCTTTTCAGCTTGTTGAGGACATCTATTCAGAGGGGGTGACCTTTTCTGGTCACTGTTTTTGTTCTTGCTGTTAAGGATTAAATTCCGGGTTTTGTGTGTGACACATCAATGCTCTACCCCTGTAGTCACTTCCAACACTATATTCAAATCGGGCATGATGGCACACACCTATAATCCCAGCACTCAGAATGAGTGCCTGCATCATGAAGCGAGTTCTAGACCAGCCTTCGCTATAGTGACACAGTATCTCAAAAAAAAAAAAAAAAAAAAAAAGGCTAAAAATCAGTTTCATGTCTACAAGTGTTCTGGATTTTGGACACACACGTGGATGTATTTAACAATACTAAATTATGCTTAAAAAAATGATATGAGGCTTGAGGCTGGCCGTGGAAGTACACACCTTTAATCCTGCTCTCAGGAGGCAGAGGTAGACAGGTTTGAGGCCAGCCTGGGCTACATCAAGAGTTCCAGGCCAGTCAGGGTTACAGAGTGAGAACCCTTGTCAAATGCAGTTTGCCACAGAAAAGGCGTGCACTGCCGGATGGCGGTGGCACACGCCTTTAATCCTAGCACCCGGGAAGAGGCAGGCAGATCTCTGTAATTCGAGGCTACCCTGCTCTACAGAGAGTTCCAGTACACCAGGACTGTAGAAACCTTGTCTAGAAAAACCAAAAAGTGTCCATTGATGTTTCACATCAAGAAACATGCCCCGGAGGTTTGTAGATTACACCTCTCTATATATAAGGGTTTTATTAAGAAACACTAATTAGTGGTTGAACATGTAGCTTGGTGACAGAGTGTGTGTTTAGCAAGTGTGGGCCCAGCATTATTAAATCCATAACAACTTGGTTCCTCTCCATCTCTTCCTTCTCTGAGACAGGACCTCGTGCACCCCATACTGGCCTTGAGTTTCTGATCCTCCTGCCTCTACCACTCAATTCTGGAGATTCAAGTGTGTTACCACACCCGGCTTTCTTTTTTCTTTCCTCTTTGCTGTCTCTCAACCGCCTTCTTTCTGAGACAAGTTCTCACTTAGCTCAGGATGGCCTTGAACTGCTGGTCTTCCTGCCCTTCCCCAGGGCTGGGATTATAAGCGTGCTACCGCCCGTTTGTGTGTTACTGAGCATCACCGGGAGGACACGGCCTTGCACTCACCAATACACAGCAGTGGCAGTTTACAGGCAGATGGGACATGCGGTGGGAGAAGCACTAGTTAGGAAGGAAAAGGAGAGTCGCAGAAGTGGGTGAGTGTGGAGTCGGGGTGGAGGAGGAGTACTAGGAGGTGACCATAAATAATCTCAGTACATTGTATAGTCGTATGAAATTGTCAAACACACAAAACGATTTTTTAATGGAGGCCCTAAAACAACAGCCAAGGGAATAAGCCCAAACAAACAACACTGTTGCAATGACCTCACTAGCTTTTCCTTTACTTTAGCTCTGTGATTTCTCTCCCCAGACTCTCTTATTTTGAAGTTATTTTTACAAACGCTGCTTTATGCCTAGTACAAAGCTGCTCTTCTCTAGAAAGCCAACAGCAGTCTCCCAGGAGCTTTCTGTATTTACCTAGAATATTTACTTGGGAGGGTCCAAGACCAAGAGATTTATGGCAGGCCGAGGGCAGCAGTGTGCACAAACAGGAGGTGGAGTGAGAAGGGCGCCTTTTACTAAGTTATTGTCCCACTCAGTCCCGGGAGATAAACCCTTGATTAAATGAACAGGGAAGAGGGCATAAAATGGGAATCGAGGGTCTTGTTTACTTTCTGAAAAAGAGGCATTTGCTTCTCTCTGGGCTCAATGCCTAGTACATCAGTCAAGTCAAGCAGCCAACCAATCAAAAATAGGCAGGCAGACAGACAGACAGACAAGGGGCTGGAGAGTTGGCTCATCAGTTTAAGAGCACTTGCTGGGGCTGGAGAGATGGCTCAGAGGTTAAGAGCACTGACTGCTCTTCCAAAGGTCCTGAGTTCAATTCCCAGCAACCACATGGTGGCTCACAACCATCTATAATGAGGTCTGGTGCCCTCTGCTGGCCTGCAGGCATACACACAGAATACTGTATGAATAATAAATAAATAAATAAATAAATAAATAGAGCACTTGCTGCTCTTGTAGAGGGCTAGGTTTGGTTTCCAACACCCACATGGTGGCTCACAACCATCTTTAACTCCAGTTCCAGGGGACCTAGTGCCCTCTACTGGCCTCCTTAGGTACCAGGCCCACACTTAATGTGAATATACACACAGGCAAAACACTCCTGCACATGAAATAAAAATAATTAAAATCAGAGTCGCGAAGCATTCTGCACTATAAGGAAGTGGGAAGGGGAACTGCTAGATGACTGTGGTTTAACTATATCATCTTTATGTTGTCCTCTGGCCCAACTTCCTAGTAAATATCAGGAAAACAAAAAACCTTCCTGGCAGAAAAACAAACAAACAAAAAAGATAATGCAAACTGGGTCAAATGTGAACAACCGGAGAATCTGGATGACAGTCTATAGGAGTTCTTTGTGCTATTGTCGCAACTTCGTAAATGTTGGAAACCATTTTGAAGTACAGTGATAAAATCCAGCACGTCTATATCAAGAATTTTATATTCTTGCCTAAAGATAAAAAAGAAGCCGGGATGTGGTGGTGCACGCCTTTAATTCCAGCATTCAAGGTGCTGGTGGCAGGTGGATCTCTGTGAATTTGAGAAGTAGCCTGGTCTACAGAGTGAGTTTCAGGATAGCTAAGGCTACATGAAAAAACCTGTCTAGAAGAAAAAGAAAACAAAAGGAAGGGAGGGAGGGAGGGAGGGAGGGAGGGAGAGAGGGAGGGAGGGAGGGAGGAAAGGGAAAGGAAATCTTTTCTTTAAGGAGAACTGCCAGATGAACATGGTGGGGCACCTGTGTAACCCCAGCACTCAGGAGGCTGAGTCATAAGGATTGCCTGGGCCAGACTGGGCTACAGAGACTTTGTCTTTAAGAAAAACAAAACAAAATAAACAAAAACCACAAACATACAGTGCCAGTGGCAATCATATTGCTTAGAGACAAGAAAGAATGTAGTGAAAAATAAAATTATCCATTCAATGGACAGTCTGGGGGCCCTTAGACGTTATCACACTCCAGACGCATAAGTAATTCCCAGAATTGTCCCAAGGTCTATAACTTTCACTGTTGTTTGTTCTGAGACAGCATCTCGCTATGTTGCCCAGGCTGGTCTCCAGACTAAAGGAGCTCAAGTTCTCCTCCCATCAGACCCCTGTGTAGCTGCACAGATGGAGACCAGCTGTAATGGTGACTCTATACATGCAAGCTCTGCCGATGTTAGCAACATGCCAAATTCTCAGAACGCATACCTTTATAATGGCTTCGTTGATCATGTTCTCACTGATGATGGCAGCAGTGCCCAAGCTGGGGTTTGCAATCTTGGTGGCTGTTGTGTTCATCGGCTTCACGGGATGGAGCCTAGAAAGACAAGAAAAGGACCCTTAAGCTTTCCATAACCACAAAGCTGAGGGCTACTCAAGGTGGCTGCCCGCAAGACGAGCAAGGGGGAGGGGAATCATCTCCGGCCCCACATCCAGCTTCTGCCTTAGCTCCTGTGGAATTCCACGTCAAATGGATCAGAGAGTCACACACAACTACCAAAGCTCATCCCCGGCTCGGGGAGTAGGGGTGGGGGTTCCAATAGACACTGAGTCCCTCAGGCTGCTTATTGACACAAGAGCATTAAGACAGTCTCTCAGGCTGGGATGTAGCTCTGTGGTACAGTACTGGCCCAGCATGCACAAGGCCTCTGGTTCCGTCCCCAGCGCTGCAAAAAAAATTATTTTAATTAAAACAAACAAACAAACCAATGTTAACAATACAGAAGAAAGACAGAAAGGAAGTTTCTCATCCTCGCAGGTGTCTAGAGTAAGGGAGAGCGCAGATCATGAGAGCTGCTCTTTGAGCGGTCCTCAGAGGATGTCCTCAGCTTTGCTCTGTTCTACCACTCCACCTCAGCTGGCTTCTGAGCCCCTGGAGACACAAGTGCCCCACACTTCTGCAGCTACAGAGCTCCATCACACTGCAGGAGCATTCCTAGGTTTTCTTTGAAGACTACCATATCCTTGCTACACGCGCAGCTGGATTCTTGAGTGCAAACACAAAGTACATGGCCCTGCAGTGACAAGCCTTGCCGGAGAAACGGGCAAATTCAGACATCAGGACATCCGTTCGTTTTGAAGACATGGTCTCTGCAGGTAAAAGCAAAGAGAGGGCAGCTTTCCCATGCACAGACAATCTCCCCCACCGGCTCTCACCTGTGCTTGGCTGCCCCGGCTCTAGCGCTTGGCTGAGCCGAGACTGGATGTATCTCTGAGGGTGTGACCCAGGCTTGGAGGAGTGGCTTCTTCTTGCCAAAATTTTCAACTTTACCAGCGGAGCCTTCTGGGGTTGCTTTTATCTGAGACTCTGCTACACTGGTGTGGTGGTCATTGGAATGTGGAGAGCGAGGCAAAGAGTGTGCAGCAGGAAAGGTCTCAGAGGGTGAGGGGCTGGGCACGGGAGAGCCCTGGGGTGTGCGGAGAGGAGAGCCTGGCCTCCCACTCGGCTCCAGTTCCTCTTTCTCGGCAGTACCAGGGCCTGGTAACTGTTTATTCACACCTGAGCTCTCGCCAAGATGGGGTTCAGCAATTCCTAGTGCTGCTGTCTGCTCGGAAGGAGCCATTCTGGAAGAGTTTGGCCTGAAGTCATGTACATTCTCCACAAGCACCGACTCATGTGTCCCTCCACTCAGCCCCTCTGCCTTCTCCAGACCGGAAGGTGACATGTTCAGGGGTGAAACTCCTGCTTGTGGATCAACCAGCTTTTCTGCCTCTCCTCCATCTCCAGCCTCATCTATTCTTTCATCATCTGATGCCACTTCGGGAATGGAAGGAAGAGACAAGCTCAGATCAGAGGCAGATGGGAGGTCACTCAGTGGGTCAGACAGCAGGCCTTCATGATCACTGGCTTTGCTCTGATACTGAGTCATAAGGCCACCATTCTCCACGACCCTCCAGAGTCGGGTGCCTCTTGCTGGGCTGGCTTCACTTGTGGGATCTTCTGAGAAACTCTCGCTTTCAGAAGGAATGATGGGCTGAGGTGCTGTGGTCACAGGTTCCTCTCCCGTGCCTTCTGTGTGGGGACACTCAGGAGACTCTGCATCAAGCCTGCCTCCGGCCACAGGCCCTTCACGTGTCAGCCGCTGGGGATGGCTTCCGTCCTCCTCCTCAAGCTCAGCGGGTTTTTCTGTTTCTTCTTCCATGAAGAGTTGTTCAGAGAAGGACACACGCTTCTTGACTTTCTTTTCACCTCCACCGGCATTCGAATGTATCTCTTCGTGTTTCCTTGCTATGCTATCAAACAGGGAGGCCGCCTCTTCCTCTTGAAGAGGGGGTGCTGCTTCCTTGCCTGCAGGAGCCATCCCACCATTGTGATGGTTCTCCACAAGAGACCTAGACTGCCGCTCAGAGTCTGTCTTTCCCCCTGAGGGGGACTTCTCAGCAGGGTTTGCACTGCTGCCACTCCTGAGTGAAGGCCCAGAGGGTACGTCCGGGATCTCTTCAGGTGAGGGGGCCCAGTGTTGCTCTGGGACAGGAACCTTCACATGTTCTTCATGCTGCCTCATGGGGTTCTTTCCTGACTCATCACTGCCGGCTTCCTTCCCAGTGCCTGTCTCCCTGGTCTCGCCCCCTGAAGAATCTTCCATCCCTTTCTGCACTGGGATGGTCAGTTGTTTAAAAGCTGGTCCTGAGGCAGAAGAACCAGTGTTCAGAGCTGGTGTTACACTCTCCTTCTGAGAGACAGCCTTGAGGAACAAAGGGGGTTCTTCAGCATCAACCTCCCCCTTGCCTGTGGGGGGCCAGTGTTCAATTGGGGTGGATGTGGAGAGGGGAGCTGCCAGGGAAGATGAGAAAGAGGAGGAGGCAGAAGGACTTTCAGAGGATTGTGTCTCTGAGTCACCTCTCAGGTCAGAAAAGAGAGGGGCCTGAGGAGAGCTGGAAGGAAGGGAAGGAGAGAGAGCAGAGTCAGGGGAAGGAAGCCTGGCTTTGGGTTGGGCCTCTGGAGGTACGTCCAGTCTGCAAAAAGGACAAAATAAAATCTGCAGGTCAGTTGCAGATGCATTTCAAGAAACATAAAAACACTCATTAAAGAGGGACAGGTGTTTTGTTTTTTACATTTGGAGCAGGATCTACAAAGCCAAGGGAACGGCAATTCTTGACATACAAATGGATCGCTTTGTGTTTCTCCAGTGTCGGGGTATCAAAGCCTGGGCCTCATACATGCTAAGCAAATACTCCACAACTGAGACACACTCTCCCCACAGGAAGAGACACTGCTGGGCACCAAGCACATCTGTCATACAAGGGAACGATTCAGCTGGAACAACAGGCAGCCTACAGTTCCTTTAGACAAGGCGACAAGTATGGACGTCGAAGAGAAAAGTACACCTGTGTACAATCTCCAAAGAGTTCTGCCCCACCCCCCCATACCAGAGAAATGTCAACGTGAACGTGACTCAGAAGCTACTCCTTCCTGATGAGTCTGGTGCTTATGATCAGGTACAGAGGAGACAAAGAATGACCACAGCTACACTAAAGGGGGACCAAGGGTCTCTCGCACCAGCAAACGGATGCCAAATGCCAGGAGGAAAGGCAGCCATCTCCACTGGGCAGCGTGAAGTGAAACCTTAAACCCAGGTTCTGCCCATGTACCCACCACAACCAAGAATGCTCAGAATCGGCCACAGACTCTCCTTTCACTAGAGTCTGGTTAGCTCAACGAGAAAAACAATCCCCGCCCACATATGGCTGAGCTGTGGCTTTAGGCTGGGAAACACCTCTGCTCTTTATGCTGGGCAAGCCAGGCCAGCAGAGGTGACTGGCTCAAATGACTTAAGACTAGCAGACTTCTGCATACACATCCTGAAACTGACCAGGTTTGCTCTAGTGGAGATTCTAATGTCAGACAGTGGCAGAGAAAGACCCCATATGTAGAAAACTAATTTACCTAGGCTTCACGGCTTTGGTCTGGGGAGCCCTCGCAGCGGGAACTGGTGGCTTCGGTTCAGACTTAGGCTCCAGGCCGGCTTCTGGGGCTGAGATCTGCACATCTTCAAAGCGGTTCAGGGAGTTGCCCCTCTGTGAGGGGGCAGGTACGACATCTCTCTCAGACCGTCTCCCAGGGTCTTCCTCCCTCAGCTGGGCTTCCACGCGCGTGCCCTGCCTTTCCTTCTCTTTCTCTGAGACAGTGGGAAGAGGCTCGCCTTCACGGCCTTTAGCCGCATCTTTCTTTCCTGTCACCAGAGAAAGCAGGGAGGACTTCTTGCTGTCCTTCGTTTCTCTCGGAGTCTCCACGTTTGCTGGAGACACGCTCTCTCTACCATCCTCGCTGGTCAGAGATCGGTAGGATGGCAAAGACATGGACTTCACAGAATCCTTGGTGGAAGCATCGGACAGTTGTCTGTCAGAGGTTACTTCCCCTAGTTCCTTAGGAGACCGGGCAGCCAGGTTTTCAGTGGAGGAGAATAAATGCCTCTTCTGGAAGCCCTGTGGGGATGGGGAATTTGAAGGGCTGCTGTCCCTGACCTCACTCTTGGCCTCTGTCTGCTCCATATAAACATGGTTCCCGTTGATACAGAGGTTAGATCTTGAGAGGGAGTCGTTCTTAGAGCGGAGGCCACCGAGGAAGGAGAGCCCCTCTTTCTTGGGAAGGCTGAAGTTGGTCTGGTTCGGTTGTGCGTGATCCATGCTGGGTGTTCTCTTGTGGGACATGACTGGGAAGGAAGTAAATCACAGAGGGTTAAGTTCTGGAGTGACAGTTCAGGGAGTGGAGGTATTGACTGCAAAGCCTGGTGACCTGAGTTAAATACCCAGGGCTCCCACGATCAAAAGAGAACTGACCCCCACAAGCTAGCCTCTGACCTACACACACACTAAACAAAGAGATGAAGCTGAGGCTAGAGCTCAGAGGCAAAGCATTTGTCATCAAGCCCAAGGCTCTAGGAACAAAAAGAAAAAAGAAAGAAAGAAAGAAAGAAAGAAAGAAACTCCATGAGTGAGTGATTTGGGGCACAGCTCAGTGATGGGTTCCTGATAAGCCATATATGATGCAATCAGCATTGCAAAGACAGGAAGAGGGGAGGCGTGGACGTGGGGGTGGTAATAAGTAGTTGCAGCGGGCAGTGGCATCTGTCAATCTATCAGCATTTGCACGCGTCTTCAGTCGTGGTAACCGATAGGAAGGAGCTGGTGCTGCCTACGCATCCCACAAGAATTATCAGCCCAGTCAGTCAGGGATGCTGAAGTGAAGAAATTCTGTGTTAAACCAATGGAAAAGGCAATGTTCTCGATAGAGTAACAGAGTTTGGCGGCTAAAAGGGATTCAGTAATTGAAGCTGGAGTTCAAAATACACAACTTGGGTTAAGGAGACTGGACTATTTAGCTTCCAGCATGGACGCACCACATGGGAGTTAAGCACACAATAGAGGCTCAGCAGACATCCAAGGAATTAATGAAGTATCAGACATATAACACGGTCCTACTACAATATGGACGGTCCTATAGTTTTATTTTTTCATATACAATAGGTGCTGGGTGTGTGAGTCAGTGTTAGAGCACTTGTCCAGAATACTTAAGACCCTGGAACAGATCCCCAGGACCGTGAGAAGACAAACAGCAGCAAAAAAGCCAAAACCAAAACAAAACAAAACAAAAAAACCCTCAAATGCACTTATTCTGTGAGCTCCAGAGCCTAGGAGAAGACATTCGTATTCTCTTAGGAAAGAAAGCCTTAGTGAACCTCATCACCATCATTGCTGTGGTAACTAAATCCCAAAGACCCACCTCTTCCTTCTCAGAGCAAAGTCAGGGAGACCGGGGAAGCGGGAGAGTGAGCAAAGACGAGAACTCACCATCGGAGGTGGAGGAGGACTCATCCTCGTCATCGTCCCACCGGGACTGCAAGTCTCCGGGACGGAGCATCACTTTGTCTGGCTTGGACGTAGGCAGGACAGACATAGACTGGGAGAGTGGCGTCTTCTGCAAATTCGACTTGGAAAACAGAGTCTTGATCTTTGACTTCTTTTTCTTGTCTTTGGAGGAAGACTCCTCATCGCTGTCGACCGAGGGTGTCGTGCTGGGGACGATGGCTGAAGCGGTGTCCGAGGCGCTATCCTTGTTCTTCCCTTTGATCTTGTCCTTCAGTTTTCCAAAGGGATTCCTAGACTTATCCTTCATGGAGAGGTCAAACATGCTGGCAGTCATGTTGTTTCTCATAAACTGGATATCGACCTCGATTTCTCCTCGCTCTTTGTCCTTCTTTCCTGGCTTGGATTTCAAGGTGTACCATCTAGAGGAGGAAAGGACGAGAGGTTACCTTTGGATGGGAGCAGCTCCAACGGGGCCCTGACATCAGTGAATTCTCTCTGCTGCTCCAACCTCTCATACAAATGCTCTACACTGTCTCAGTGAGGAGCAGGAAGCGGGGCATAACACAGAACTGTTTTATTATCCATTCATTTCTGTAGTGCAAGGGGTGGAACAAGGGCCAACGTTGAGCAGAACAGGCAAATGTTCTGCCCAAGCCACATCTTTAGCCCTGTACTTGCATCTTACTAGGGATTGGACCTGGGCTTTGAGCATACCGTATAAGTACTCTACACCATTGAGCTCTATCCTCAACCCTATAATCATCTAGAATAACTATCCAATAATGAGATTTTTCTAAAAATAAACAACTTGGCACAATGATGCAGCCTAGAGTCCCAGATATTGGAGAGGGGGTACATGACTTTGAGGACAGACTAAGACCCCACCTTAGTTGGGTATGGTGGCACACGCCTTTAATCCCAGCACCTGGCAGACAAAAAAAGGCAGATCTCTGTGAGTTTGAGGCTAGCCCTGTCTACATATCCAGTTCCAGGACAGCCAGGGATACAAAATGAGACCCGATCTCAGAAAAACAAAAGGATGGGAACTAACAGAGACCCACAACTGGGCAATATGCAGAGAACGAGACCTTGAAACATTCAGTCTTAAGTGGGGCGTTGCTATCAAATCCCTCTCAGGGGAAAAAAAAAATTATAGTGTGCTTGTTTTATTTGCCGGCTTGTTAATGAGAGAAAAAAGGCATGGAGTTGGATGGGTAAGAAGATCTGGGAGAAGTGACTATATTATATAAAAATTATTTTTAATAAGAAAAAGAGTAACACTCAAATCCCTACCCACAAAATGCAAGACCCCACCTCAAAATAAAGGGAAGAATTCTATCAAATTAGTTCCAATGTCATATTTTCCTTCAGCAAGTACAGTTAAGTTATTATACAGATTTATACATAAACACCAGACGGCTCAGCAGTTGAGAGCACTGGCTGCTCTTCCAGAAGATCCTGGTTCAACTCCCAGCACCCATATGGTGGCTTATAACCATCTGTAACTCCAGTTCCAGGAGATCCAGCACCCTCTTCTGCCTCCACGGGAGCTGCATGCATATGACACACAAGTATACACTCAGGCAAAACACCAATACACATAACATTTATAAAAAAAATAAAGCTTACAGAAAGGAATAAAGCCTGGCAGGGAGAAAGGGAAAATACAAAATACAGCTTCAAAAACAAAAAGAAGATTTTGGATTTAAAAAAAATCTACAAATGACAAATATTGTATTATGCTTCCATTTACATGAGGGACCTAGATACCTAGAGCTGTCAAATTCACTGAAATAGAAAGTAGAATGGTGGCTGAGGGGCTTGGGGGATGGGCATAACAGAAATAATGCCTGAAGGGTACGAAACTCTAGTTTAAACTGGAAAAAAATGAAAAGATTCTGAAGACAGAGGGTGGTGCTGGTTACACAATGTGAACGGATACACAACTGCACACTTGGTGGCTACAATGATAAACTTTAGGCTGGGAATGTAGGTCAATGGTGGAACACCTGCCTAGCATTATGACACGCCTAGGGTCCAGTCCCCAGCATCATAAGAAATAAAAAGCTAAATTTTACATTTTGTCACAATTGGAAGTAATGCAAAACTGACCCGAAAGCACTCACGTCGGACTTAGCTATCAGAAAAGAATGTTTCAAACATCGCTCAAGTGTTTTACATGGCCCTTTGCAAGCTACTTGAAGACACGGCAAACGACGGGGCATCAGACCTACTCAGACTGCAAACTTCAGAAAGGGGCATCTCCTTGACATTCATTTTCCGTCGGGAAACCTGATCTCTGGTGAACTGGGAGCCCAGTTCGTTGCAGGTGCAATGTGGGACAACCAACTTCAAATACCGGCCTCCAGAGGAACCAGACAGCCACAGGCCATCTCACAAATGCAGAACTTTCTGGTTTTTTTTCTTCAGTGACCTACTTAAGAGCCCAGGGCCGAGACTTTAAGGAAATGATGGTTTTGTCCAAATGAGCACAACTTCCTCCCTCACCTCCAACTGCAGCTCAGCAGAGGCCAATCTCCCCTGCTATTTGGCTCACCGGGCACACAGGGAAGTAGAACCCGAGCTGTGAAGCTGCACTTGCAGCATGCACTGCAGCGTGTGCACTTGAGCTGCACAGGAGGTGAGGGAAGGAGGCTTAGATATTGCTAGGATCCCAGTGCTGGTGCAGAGTAGCAAAGCTTCTCCATTCTCTGAGCTCCTCTTCCTTCTCCTCTGCCAGGAGGCTTGCTGATTCTCCTGATTCCTTTTCAAATCCTTTCTGAGGAGGGTTTAAGATTTTTCCCCCTTTGTGTGTGTGTGTGTGCGCGCGCGCGTGCTCGCGCATGCACAGAAGTGAGTATGTGTGCAGGGGCTGCTAGGGATGAAATGCAAGGCCTCCTGCGTGATAGGCAAGTACTCTACTGCAGAGCTACAGCCCAGTTCATACTCTTTCAACTTAAATATCCCAAAATAAAAGGAGAGGGGGACACTCCAACACAGCTTGCCCCCTGTCGTAACCGTAAGATGACCACTGAAGATGCAACACACAACTGCCGGGAAGAACTGGAACTGTACCAACGAACGCAGTCAAGACCCAGCAAAGTGAAGTGAGATGCCGGACAGGGCTGGCAACGAAAAGGGGAGGGGGGACCAGGGGCAGCTGGAGATGCGAGTCTCCTATCTTTCCAGTACACTGTTCTAGGGCAAGGCCCCGCCTGGAATACTTTGCATATTTGTCAAGAGGTCGAGAGGATTATTTGTGTTTTTCCTTCCCTGATAGTCACGTGGTAAACGCAGTTGCCTTGGTGATGAAAGGTGTCTGGCTTTTGTAATATTACTAGCAGGCACCTGAAAAGGAGAAGTGGCTGAAAGTTGAATGTAAAGCTCACTTGGCAATAGCAGGGGCTGCAGGCTTCAGGGCCACCCAGGGAGAAGGGGCTGCCCCACCCCCACCCCAGACCTTCTCCACTAGGCTTCTGAGGCATGCAAACGCATTCAAAGCCTTCAGAACATGCCACCTGACCACTCCTGGTAGCAGGCTTGCCTTTCTAAAGGTTACCTGGACCTAAGCAAACTTGTACCTAACCCCAGAATGCTCCCCACCAATTATTACCCGCCACCCAAGCACTGGAGTGGGACTTGCTTTGGAAACTTCCAGCAGCACAGGTGAGCAGAAACCTAACCAGCTGTTCTTGCTGCTCATCTTCACAAGCAAACCTGAAGTTAACCAGCCCGTAGCCGAGGAAGCTCCAGGGCTCCCTTTAGGGGCGAGGAAAGCAGAGTTGGAATCATAGGTAGAGAGCAAGCATCCCAACAAAGGCCATCAAGAGTGTTCACACTACAGCAAAGAAAGGAATGTTTCAGCCAATACAACCCTCCTGCTAAAAAGCCAGGCCACCAAGAGATGCTTGACATCAGCCTAACCAGAAGCCACAGTGAAATCACCTGGCAGCCAGCAGACAAGATATTCTTTTTCTCTTGTTTCGTTCTTTTTATTTTTTAAAATTCTTTATATGAATTACATCCTGACCAAGTTTTACCTCCTCTACTCCTTCCAGTGCCCCCCCCCATCTATTCTCTCTCCCCTAGATCCACTCCTCCATTTCCAGAGGGAGAGTGCAGGTATCCCAGGGCTAACGACCGAGCACAGCATAACAAATTATAATAAGCTAGGCACAAACCCTGCTATTAAGGTTGAACAAGGCAACCCAATAGGAGGAAAAGGGTCCTAAGCGCAGGCAAAAAGCCAGAGATCCCCACCCCCAACACACACACACACACACACACACACACTGTTAAGAGTCCCACAAGACCACCAAATTACTCAACCAGAAACCATACATACACGCTCAGACCCATGCAGGCTCCCTGATGCAGGCTCTCTGAGCCCCTATGAGCCTGCTTAGTTGATTCCGTGGGTTGTGCCCTCATGGTCAGACAAGATAGTCTAAGAGACTTGTGTCCCAAATATTAAAATGTCCTCAGGAGTCTCATGGTGAGGAAAGGAAAAGGAAGGTGCCGGCTAGAGGAGGAAACTTCTCCCAAGGGAGAGATTTCACGGAGTTCTACAGGGAACACTGGAGCCTGGTAATGCTGACGGATGATGGGGTGGGGGTCACGCCTTGACGAGACTGCTTAGTTATGCATACCATTTGCCCTGTATTTAAACCCACCTCAAGTCAGACTTGAAGGCTGCCAGACCTCCTCCCACTGTGGCTGTGTAGAACACACACACCCCCTTTCCTGCTTTTCAGCACTACTTGTCTCTTTAGGGGCACACCGGGGTGGTGGGCAAGCCTTTGATCTGCCAGAGCCCAGGCTTTGAGCCTGAAAACTCCATTAACAAAGTTCACGAATCACGCCCTCTGGAATCCCAAATCGGATTATGGCTGTGGGCTTCAACATTACTATCAACACCAGTTTTTGGTGCTTCTGTCTTTTTTTTTTTTTTTAATTCACTTAATTCCTGTCCCCTCCGAGAAGCAGTTAATAACTAACCTCCGACCCAGCACGGCCACACGGCATAGGGCTGTAGTGCGGGTGTTCACATGGCGCCGGGAAGCGTCCGTTAATCTTTCCGTCAGGGTTGGGCTCACTTTTCTGTCCAGAGGGCAGAGGGCAGCAGGAAAGCCATAATCCCATACAAGAAGTTTATCTTTAAGCCCACGATATGAAAAAAGCCATTAACCTTTCAAAAAATAAAATCCTATGATTTTTGTATATGAGGCAAGGACTCCATCACCAAGCTATATGCCTAGCCCTTCTAGAAATAATGACCACTTTTGTATTCTCCCAACTGAAAAACATAAGTTATCTAAATAATCTACTTCATGGTGTTTATGTAGGTTTTTTGGGGGTGGGTGGGGTGGGTAGGTGAGGGTTCCAAGATAATATAAGGCAGTTAAAAATACACCAATTG